GCACTGCCATTTGAATGCTTTGATTTGTTCCAGCTTTTGCAAGGTGCTCTGGCTTTCAGTCAAGTCCTACAGGGAGAAAATAACTTTTGTCATCACTGCATTAAGGGTCTGATGGAAATGTGTGGGATTGCTTCAGATTCCACATTGCATTTACTCCAGTGTTAAACTGACTACCTATTAGCTCTCCGCTTCCACATTTCAGAAGCTTAGGTTGAGTCATTCTGCATGTATTAACAGTCACTAGTTGCACTAGCAGTTACCACTATTGCTCCCCAAGTTCAGAATCTAGAAAAGAGGAATTAGGTAGAATTGATGCATTAATTAATGTCAGACCTGTTCAGTCCATCCTTGCTATGTTTGTAAATACATTTCACTTTTGGGATACTTTTCTAGGCTGCGATTCTTGCATACTTAGATAGGATTTGGATTTAAATTTTGGACAGAAAGAATGTGCATTAGGCCTGCCAAGGACCCCCTAAAAGTAGACCCTAGGTGCTTGCAGGAGAGGCTGTGTCAAAGGGTCAACAGTGAGGGTAATTAAGTAGAAAAGATCTGGTGTAATGTTCTGTGGAATAATTACTTTTCGTGGTGTCATTGATAGGGCTTCAATAACAAGTGCATAAATCTGTAATGGCATTTGGTAAAGAAGATGAACCAACTGGAGGGAAAGAAAAAGAATTCCAAGCAAAGAACGAACGGCAAGCATTCTAAGTAGGTGAAACCGTGCAGAGAAGCAGCAAGCCATGCTCTACGACAGACAGAGACAGTCACTGGCTCTATGGCTACCCTTTGGCAAAAGTGTCCCTTGAACGGGTCAAGCATGCCACTAATTGGAAACTTCATACACACAGGTGTTTGATATAAAGATATCTATCCAGGTTCTTGATAGCACGTTTGCAATTAAATCCTTATACATAACATTGAACTTATTAAATATTAACAGTTGTCTTTAAAATTTTGTAATTTCATTGCATAGAACATTAGACATGAGAATCATTTTGCTGTTACCCATGGTGAATGGAAGCTCCTATGGGCCACACCAATGAATTGTTGTTCTTGAACATGCTCAGCGCGGATGAAAGATGGGCAGGAAACAGCACAAACAAGTGGGAACGGGAGCATCTGTACACTTGCTGAATTCTTTACAGCAAAAAAAGTAAAAAACAAAGGAGCTTTTCACAGGGTGTTCTTTCGGCTCTTGTGATTTACAGCACAAAGAGCTCCGTGCCGGCAGGTTTGCCAACACGCTGTTCCAAGTAGCTCCTCCATCTTTCTGAGCATGCCCACCAATAATGGCTTAAGAAGGACTCGAATTGCACAGTAGGACGAAGGAGGATGGCAGAGGCAAGCTCTCCTCACCATACCGGATTGTGCTCTTGATAGCTTTCTGGACCCTATTGCTTCTGCCGACAACAGCCCATATGCAAACTCAGTACAAAGTTAAGAGATTAATGACGTATGATACTAAGCCGAAAGAAGGAAAGAAAGAAAGAAAACGTAAAAGGAACCTCACAAAAAAATAATAAACCAAGCCCCCAGTTTCTGGGCACTGATGAGGTATACATGTAAATAAAAGTGGAATGATTAAGGCTGTTTTTTAAAAAAAAAAATCCCAGGCATACATAAAACAATGCACAACATTAACAATGAAAAGCACTGCCATTTGAATGCTTTAGAATGGCTTCAGGATGGCTTTGGGTGGCTGATAGACATGCCTGGCCAGCATTTGTGTCAGTCAATGGTCAGCCAGTTCGCACTGCCTTTCAGTCCTATGGCCTCTTAACTCAGTAGTGAAACAGTGTTAGGTCCTAGTCAGAGTTCCCTTCGTCCCAGACTTTCCATTGCAGGGATGATGAGAGGGAACAAACACTGGAGGGGGTGGGGGTTGATGGGTCAAACTGGAATGTGAAGGAAAATGGAGCATCCAGCTCCCAGCCCTCAGTTCAAGCACATCTTGAAGAGTGGGAAAAACCTATGAAGAACTAGAGTTAAAATTCAGTAACTTTGTGTATAATCCTAAGAGAAGGCCATGGCTCCCAAAGTCAGATGCTAGGCACAAATGGAACTACAGTCATAGGTAGTTTCTGGAGTCCCAAACATCTCAAGCAACAGAAAAGTGGCATGCCTGCATGACAAGCCCCTCTTCTCTAACTGCACCGTGTTATGCACATCTTCTCAGTCTAAGGATCTGCCTTCACCCCTTGAGGCTTTCACAACACAGATCACCAAATTGACAACAGTAGCTTTGAAAGTCCTTTGTGGCAGTTGGCTCAGACATCTTCAAGCAGCATCTTATGGGATCCACAGGCCTAAATCTGTATGAAGAGCTCTTCTGTTTCATTCTCTGAGCCTAGTGGTTTTCCATGGTTTCAAAAGCTTGATAAGGCGAAAAAAAATATCACAGAAATATATTTATAATATTTCAAGAATTGGGGGAGCAGAGTGCCCAGGAATATCTCCTGAAAAAGCTAGAATATGCATCTTTTATATGCAGTGGCAAGGGGATAAATCCCAACCACTTGAGGAGCTGGTCCAATCTTCCTCACCCTGCTACCCTCCAAATGTGTTGGACAATATCTTCCATGAATTGCACAAGTACATCATACCATACATCATACCATACTGTCTGAGCGGGGTGGGGTTGTATTTCACCATACAAAGTGAAGGCAAAGGCTGAAACAGCTAGAAAAGCTAATCAGTCAAATCTGAACAACCAAGTAGTAATGAAATAGTTGCTTCCACTTTGCAACACTTTCATATATTTCATATAGTGAATATATATACAATATGTATGTATGTATGTATGTATGTATGTATGTATGTATGTATGTATGTATATGTGAATATATATATTCATATATTGTGGAGTAGACACAAAAGCACATTTTCCAAAAAGGCGACATCTTTTCCATCTCACCTCTTTGCTCAAACCTGGATGTATATCCAGTTCATAAGTTCAGCAAAATAATGGATTTTTAAAATATATACTAGGAGAAATTGACAAAAGTTCTGCCATTTTTTAAATTCTAGCTTAAGTGAAAATGGAAAAATGATAAAACTGTGGTGTCTTCCTTCCCCTCCTCCTCCTCCTTCTCCTCCTTCTTTGTGTGTGTGTGCGCATGCGCGTGTTTCCATTCAGGAAGGTTAAAGAAGCAGGGGAATTGACCAGTCAGGCTGTGGTAAACGTGGTCTAGACAGAACCTCAGGCCATCGCAGTGGCCAGAGTGGAGGAAGGGGTTGAAATCTGGAGAGATTTCTTAAGCTGGCTTCATTTCCAGCTGGCTTGGCACAAGTGTCAAACAGCTTAAGGCTGCAATGCAGAAAACCCCTAAATTTATTTATTTTATATATTTAGAAACACATTTCTAGAGCTGCCTGACTCCAGAATGACTCTGGGCATTTTACAAATTAAAAAAGGCAAGAAATATCACAACATCAGAAAAGAATGATAGTCTCCCAGAGGGAACAATAAAAGCCCTCTTCCTCATATACCACCCAACCTAAAGAGGCCCAACAACCACCCAAGCCAAAGCCTGGGGGAAAAAGCCAAGTTTTCAAGGCTCGTTTAAAGGCTGGCAGGATAGGGGCCGTTTGAATTTCCGATGCTCTCCCAGGGGGCAGGGTGCTGTGAGAGATAAGGCCCCTTCCATTTCACACAATCTATGATTCTATGGATCAATATACACAATAAAATTAAAGACAAAAAATTCCCCTGCCTGGCTCATTCTTGTGCTAATTGTTATCCTTACAGTTCCTCACTCTTAAAATATAATTATTAATCGGATGTCTTTGACAGACATTTCCACAGTTCTGCTGGCCTCTTTGAGGGTCTTGGTTTGGAATCTCTGATTTACAATAACTGAGAAGCAGATGCATATTTGTGTCTCTGTTTGCAGCACATGAGATGTAGCAGATAATTGATTCCCCTCATCCCCAGGAACTGCTCCTGGCTCTAATGATGTCCTAATGGAAAATGAAGAAGATCCCATAAGCCCCAAATCTGCCCAGCCACAATATGGACCATAAGAGCTCTGAGTAATTTCTGTTATTTTGTGCAGCACTCAGTATTTAAATAAAGCAACAATTAAGAGCACTAAGAGGTTCTCTTAATTCAAAGTGGCATAGCATACTGAACACGGGCAAATTACCATAAGCTAAGCAGGGAATCATATCACTGGGTTGAAAACCACCACCACCATCACCACCTATCTTCAGGGCTTTCTTTATCTCACAGGAACTGTCTCTCAGTCACTTTTGATGAAAGCCAACTATTTGATCACATTTCTACTTCTGGCACAATGTGGCAGATGTAGAAATGGAGCCAATTAGATAGATGATACTCACTATTATACCCAGAGTCCAGAGCGGCAAATGAATTCCAATGAATTCTTCATAGGTTTTTCCAGTGCCATGATGAGATTTCACTTATTTCCCCAAACGCCTAATGAATCAGTGATGAGAGAAACAAGAAAAAGAAACAGCTGTTGGTAAAGAGAAAGGAAAATCTAAAAAAAGTAAGGAAAATGGAAGTGTAAATAGAAGGATACTCAGATTAAGCAGCAATAGGATAACCTGCTTCGGGGTAGATGGTCAATTTAAGATCACTGATGGGAACAGAAGTTCTATCAAGTAATTAAGACATTTCTGGGCTCTGGCATTTCAGTGTGCTGACATGGCCCTG